ACTGGTGGGGAAACTACACCAGAAATTACTCTGACTAGACAGGAAACATCACGAGACTGAAGTTATTTACAGCGAGGGGACAAACCAGGACTTGGTACCCAAGCTAGGAGAGCTCAGGGACGGGAATTACACAAACAAAGCTACAAAGCTCAACAATACACAGCAGCACGGGGAAAATACACAATATGAGCTGAACTGGACTAAACCCAGAGAGAGGGAACGGAGTAACTCAGCTGACAGTTGGTGAATAGAGAGGGACAGGAGGGTAGGCGGAGGTGGCGTGGAGAGGCAGGTGTTGAGTCCTGGTGGAGGAATCCAGGGCAGAATCCAGTAGTGACTCGGTGATGATGGATGGTTGGGAGGAGTTCCAGGCAGGTTGCAAACGAAGCGTCCAGGGAGTGTCAGGACCAAAAGTTAGTCAAGAGCAAACACTAAACTGAGCAAAAGCAAACAAGGGCCTGGGAGGGAATCTAACTGGGGTCGCTTACAGTCTGGCTTTGAGTAGTGGTCTGAGTCTGGCTTTTATGGCAGAGGTTGGAATCAGTGAGGTAGATCTGAGTAATGCCAGATGGATGTGAATCCACGTCGCCATCTCTGTGGAGGTTGTTTCATTGTTTTGACAAGATCCAACAGAGCAGAACCTGCAACGCTGCAGCTCCCCAGCAGGCAACAAGGCGTCATAGCAGCAGCGTCTGACAATCTAAAACAACATCTTAGCATCACAAGGTTCAGTATCTACAGAATCAAACAGGTGTTTCGGTGTCAGAGAGCAAAAATTATGAGAAACAACAGAATTGAAAAGCTGAATGGTACAATAGACACACCATGTTTGATCCAAGTCCTACAGATCTTACACAATACACGACATACGTTTAGATTCTGCCTTGATTATTGAGTTTCTGTTTTTACAAGTGCATACTTCACCCGAAACTGATGTTTATCTGATGAGGAAACAAGTCACCTGATGAAGTTAGAGAAGCACTTGTCTGATCAGTTTCAGAGACGAGGAAACTACTGCAGCCATGACACAGGTAGGTCGGCTACGTTTGACTTTCAATCTTGCAGCGAAGCTTTTTATGGCTTTAATCAAACAGAAATCATTACTTGCTTAAACACAAGCTCTTAAACAGTGTTTTAGAAAGTTTACAGAATGACAAAGACGAGTTTTAGTCGCTGAATGTTCACTGTTGAACTGTTAATGCTTGATGCAAGATTAAAGAAGCCAACATGAAGAAAACAAGAACTCCTCTGAACGACTGATCATCATATGACGCATTGGGGAAACAAATATGATGAACAATTAGTTTAGTCGTTGATCATCTAGAATCTGATGGTGGCTGACTGATGTTGCTGATCAATATCATGATATTTCCAATCAAAGTTTTATTTTGGTCCATCAACATGTGATTTATTTCAGTTTTCAGAACTTCATGATGCTTCGTCTAAACGATGGACTCAGCTCAGTTCCTTCACAGCTTCACTTTTCCTTCTTCTGACACAAAACTGTGAAGGTAACCGACACACACACTCCTTAAAACATTTAAATACAAAGAACGACAAAATAAGGGAAGCTGCTGATGTGTGTTTTTTTTCTTTTTTAATCCGTTATAACTTGCAGCCCAAATGTTCCTTAATATATCACGATACAGGAACGTCATGTAAACGTTCTGTCATCGAAGGTCTCAATAACATCTGGAAAACATTATCTGAGTGTTGGTCCTCCTTTGTCATCATGGAGCATAATTTTCCTGACGACATCCTCTGACTGTTCATGACAAAACACTACTTTAACGTTATCACATGATTTGTTCAATAAAGTTAAAGATGTGTAGAAATGGTGCAATTTTGGTGATTAAAAAAAAAAAAGAAAGAAAAGACTTAATACGTGTCAAATCCGCTGTCAGGTTTTGGGTTTTTGAAATCTCCATCCGGACAAGCGTTTAAGCATCATTTCAGAAATAATTTGTGAATTGTGTTCAATCGTGAGAATAATCCTGAAGATTCCTGCACATGTCGACGGTAGCAGTGTGACGAACTGCACAAGTTACCTCACAGCCGCTGTTAGCATCGACAGCAGGGTCAGAAACAAGAGTAAAAAAGGCTGCAAAATACCATTTTGACTTCTTTGTTTGATCAACTCAGCAAAATATGTACTAACATGCATTCGCAGTCATTTGTTTCCTTCACATGCCTTCATTTAAAAAAGGTGGAAAATTCCAACCTCTTTCCTTCAGGTGGTGTCCAGGTGGTCGGTCCGTCTCAGCCCGTCGTAGTAGCCATTGGCGATGACGTCCTCTTGTCTTGTCGGCTGGAACCTGCCGTCGACGCTTCAGAAATGACCGTGGAGTGGTCCAGAGAGGACCGAAACCCTCGATTTGTCTACGTGTGGCGGGACGGAGTGGAACTGGAACGTAACAAACATCCATCTTATGAAGGAAGAACGTCATTGTTAGTTAACAAACTGGAGCTCGGAGAGGTTTCACTGAAACTCTCCAAAGTGAAACCGTCTGATGAAGGAAAGTACAGATGCTTCATTCCTACACTGGGTCGAGGATCTGCTGTTGAACTGGTTGTTGGTGAGTTAATACTGAGATAATTGTGGTTTGTCAGGTGTTTTTTAAACATCCTTGTGTGTATGTATGAGAATGAAGACTGTAGGAATGAGTCACTGCAGCAGTTTGAGGAGTTAAAGCATCTCAGGGTTTGTTCATGAGTGAAGGTCAGACAGAGTGTGAGATTTCAGCCGTTGGACTTCTTTCTGCACCAGTTGGAATCAGTGAGGTAGATCTGACTGATACTAGCTGGATATGAATCCACGTCACCATCTCTGTGGAGGTTGTTTTCATTGACAAGGTCCAATAGAACCAGCACCACTGCAGCTCCTCCCCTGGAAACAGAACAAGGCGTCATAGCAGCAGCGTCTGACAATCTAAAACAACATCTTAGCATCACACGGCTCAGTATCTACAGAATCAAACAGGTTTTTCGGTGTCAGAGAGCAAAAATGATGAGAAACAACAGAATTGAAAAGCTGAATGGTACAATAGACATACCATGTTTGATCCAAGTCCTACAGATCTTACACAGATGCGTACGATTTGTCAACCATAAAATCAGTTTGGTATAACTTGTGGGCATCTCCTACATGTTCTCGGTTACCATTGTGACAAGCCTCGCCCCCATCTGACTATGGGTTGGTTCACAAAAAAGGAGCAAAAGTTAGGCTGAAAAATACACGACGAACGTACATTAATGAGAAAACTCATTTAGGATACATTACAAACAATGACGAGACGAGGAGACTTGGTTGCATCAGGTGGACGCCGTCAAACCTTCTGTGTGAGTCTTGGGTCTCGGTTTTTTCAAAACCTCATTGAGAATGCAGTATTACTTTACAGCAGCATGATGTTTTGGAGGCAGGGTTGCAATAAAATGGTCAAACCAGTGTGAACACTTCCTGATGCGACTGTTTTAAGGAGGTTGTATAAAAAACTTTCATCCAGTGCTGCTAAAGTTGTGAGATAGTTCTGTCCTCCTGATGTTTACATGCTCTGTTTCTACTGTCTGATGTTTCCCCCTTTCCTATCTTCAGGTGCTGTTTCATTTCCAGTC